GAAGATGGATCATATCCTTCAACAACATTCCGAATCTGTTTTACTCCGGAGAAGAATGACTGGCGTTCTGCCCATAATGTACAATCTAAAAAAGAGAAGAATTTGGGAGAAAATAAACGGTGCTCCAACAACCAACAGTCATTTGCCAGAGAATGACATGGCTCTTGTGGGATAACCAGCCTCCTATAACCAACATAAGTCTAATAATACATGAAGGTATTATATCACTCACACTCACCCTGGGGAGGAAAAAAAAGTCAAGCCTATTGTTCCCTCATCTACCTTGTGAATGCCTGCATTTAAAGATGTCTGAGCTAGTTGCTCCAAGTTCAGAATGCATGATTTTCTACAAGCCATCCTTGTGTTCCTATAACAATAACTTAGGAGCTTTCATCACTTTGGAACTAATCTAAGTTTTGCTGCCTGTGTTTTCTTACTGCTGTATGGGAAAGCACATGAATTTGACCTTTGAAGAGTTTGTGAGTAAACCATTTTTAACTTACCAAATGTGTGGTCTTTTTCTATGCTGGATGAAGTGGGAAACTTTGGAAGGAACTGAAGGAGGGCATATTTTAAAGGTCCAACAGCCTATATTTCCACGCTTTACCAGGCTGCATATTTTGTGATATTAATCTCTGCTGGGGTTCTCAAAGCAAAAAGTAGTTGCCCCATACCTGGATCTTGGCCTCCAGGGAATTCTCTTTTTATACCTATTTTTTCCTTGCCAACCAACAGCTCCATCCTCACTCCTAAGCCACAAATGCTAGGCCTGATTCTTAGTCAAGGCTTCCCATGTTCTAGAAATAATTTCCCCATAGGCTGATTCCATGCCATGGCTCAGCCCAAGGGGAGATGGCACATCGTTGTTGATGACACTTGGCATTCAGATCTTCAACCCCAAAAGATAGCCAGAGCACCAGATCACAGAATTTACAGAGTAATACTAAACAATGAACATGACAACAAAACATTGAGAACATAAATCCAGGCCTGACCTTGGCAAATGATGCCTTCACAAGACTTTCATATAATAGTAATCATACTTCTTGAGTAAATCAACTACTGGAGGAATGATCTTCCCACTTTGTAAAGCTCTATGTTTATATGTATAGGTACTGTATTCAGCTCCTGAACAGTATAATGGCACCCTCCATGGAGAGACATTCTGAATTTCACAAAATTGAAAAAGCACCTCAGAGCAGGGCTCAGAAGAACAAAAAGTTGGCTGTTACGAAACTGAACAGCTGGTTTTGAGGTGGGTAACAGTAGAGATTTTAATCACATGTTTAGTTCACACACTGAAATCAATGGATAAAGAACCTCAGCAGAGACTGGATTATTCCTTCTCTTCACACTGAAGTAAAGGCCACCACAGTCATTCTGAAGTGTTTTATGTATTTGAAAAAGTTGAACTTACATAGACCGGCCATCATAAGAGAGGCGAGAAACAGGAGGAAGAGAAAAAATACGACTACAGCTTCACCACGGGGCGTTTTAAAGAAACTCTTGTCTCCAGCTGCTGTTGCTTAAGAGGCAAGAGGACAGAAAATTCTGATTTAACAAACAGTGATTCATTCCACTCTCATCACAGTAAACAAGCTTTTCATACTCTGTGGCATCGCATCTAGATCAACAAGCGACAGCCAGCTTCCTAAGTCAATGGGGCAGCCAACTGCTCAGGGGCTGTATCCTTGCAAGGTCCAGTGCCAAGTGCCTTCTGGCGGTTCCCTCGCTGCGAGAAGCCAAGTTACAGGGAACCAGGCAGAGGGCCTTCTCGGTGGAACGCCCTCCCACCAGATGTCAAAGAGAAGAACAACTACCAGACTTTTAGAAGACATCTGAAGGCAGCCCTGTTTAGGGAAGCTTTTAATGTTTAATAGGTTATTGTATTTTAGTGTTTTCTTGGAAGCCGCCCAGTGTGGCTCATACCAAGAACTAACTTAGTTGGTCTTTAAGGTGCTACTGGAAGGAATTTTTTTTGTTTTGACTATGGCAGACCAACACGGCTACCTATCTGTAACCTAAAGTCCCAGGCATCTACAATTAAAAATGCAACAATAAAGACAGTTTATATGTTTGCAGCATAAGCATGTTCCTTACCTGCATCTTTCTTGGGAGCTGGAGCTGGAAAATTACAATATATGTTCACTAGAACCTGGAGCTGGGCCAACATTTCCATAAATATTTTTCCCCCACAGAATTATGCCGTCTTTCAGATAGATTGGACTTAAGTCATAGTGGGCTTTATAAGTCACAACAAGTGCTTTGAATGGTGCACAGAAACAGACCAGTAGCTTCTGTGGGGGGGGCAGTTCATTGGAGATTTTTTATGCTTTTCAATACTTTTTGAGGACCTAGGAGAGGCCAGCCCCCCCCCCCCGCCGCCGCCGCCGCTCCCTCCTTGGCTATGCCCATGCAGCAGCTGAACTGTTCTAACAAGGGAGTCATGTTCTCCCTATAACCAGCCCCAGACAGCAGCTCTTTGGCTCAGTTAAAGTTTCCGAGCACTTTTCAAAGGCACGTTACAGCAATCCAATCATGATGTAACTAAAGCATGTGTCATTGTGGTCCAATAATAATAACTCTCTCCCTCCTCATTTAATTCCCACAAGAACCCTGTGAGGCAATCTCTTTGTGCAAGGCTTTTCATGTGGTCTGCATAGTTTTATTGTTCTTTTCTGAAAAATGCAATTAATTATTTTTTTAAAAAAAAAAGGGAAGAAAGAAAGAAAGGAAGGAAGGAAGGAAGGAAGGAAGGAAGGAAGGAAGGAAGGGGAAGGTGATGCTGATGAGCTTGTGGAAGTAGCAGCCCTCATAGCAGGACAGCTCCATGGAGGCAACCCTTTCCCATGAATGCTTCAGCTGAGATTCCTGCATTGCAGGGCGTTGGACTAGATGACTCTGCAATTCTATGAGTCTATGATTCTATGACTCCTGTGCCAGTGTCTCTGCCGTTCACCTGCATGAGACTGGGGGGGCAGCAATATCAGGTCCCCACGGGGAGCACTGGGTTGTTTCATTGGCAGGCCTGCACAGCACACTTTCACAGCTGTGCCCACCTGAGCTTCACTGAAGCCTGTGGCTTAGATCATTTGCGTTCCTATGAAGAGGAAATAGTAAAGGAAGGAACTTACCTGGTGGATTTTTAGGGGCCATTTGAATTGGTGTCTCATTTTCTTCTCTATATGTGGGAACATAAAGTAGATTGCTAAGTCAATATTTAAATTAAAAGGGGAGTCACAATGGGTTATTGCATACGCAGTGCTGGCATTGGGGACACCCCCCCCCAAAAAAATTAATATTATTGTAACCTGTAAATCACACTGTTAAGAAATTTGTGGGCACTTTTCATTTTCCTCTGACCCTACTTTTTACAACTCCTCGCCCAAATCATTTCTATAAACAGCTCATGCTAACACAGCATTTGTCTGTTAAAGTGGCATGTAGCCCACAACAGCACAATGCTACATTTGTTTGTAGTTAAGGTGCCAAATTAATATTTCTTGTTTTTGTCACACAAGACTAAAATGGCTACTCTGAAAACGTTATCATAATGCCAATTCCTTCGCATTTAACTGTGATTATTTAGAGCAGTTCCGTTTCTTTGGGGGTTCACTGTTCTTTCTGTTATCAAAAAAAAGAAGAAATACACACATGATAAAAATTATATTGAAGACCTGTTCAAATTCCATCTCCTGACGCAAAACACAAATGTGACATTTATTTGTTTAAAACATGTATGTAACACTAATGAACAGTATAAAACACTTTTGAAAGGCTTGAGGATACAATTTAGAATCTATGTAGTAATATTTCCCTACCTTACATTGCTCCTTTTTGGATGTTGTGGCACCCTGTTACACTTGTCTTCTCTCCACCTGGGGTCCTTCTGTCAACAGCCTCATCCATCTTCCTCTGTGATGCAGAATGTTCCAGAACTTCCCTGATTCGCTTTCTTCCAGTCCCTGATTGGCCAAGTGCTCTGCCAGTTCAACAATGGAGCCATTCCGCTTGGCCCCTCATGCACCCTTGGAAAAGAGGAAGAAAGACTAAGCAGGTGTGCATCAGGGAAGTGAAGAGGTGCCCCAGGAGACAGCCAGGTGAGTGAGCAACACCTGGTAGAAAGAGGAAAGAGAGCTAGGATTGATATATGCTTAGATAAGATCTGGGACATGGATTTTTTAAGAACTGACACCCATGTTAAGTTTTATGGTAACATCTTTGTGCTGCATCTTTGAATGAAGAATTCTATTGATTTGCCTTCATTAAATTTACCTAAACGATTCTTAATGCAACCAGGCATTAGATTATATTGTATTTTGTACCTTCTTCTTTGTACTTCTTCATCGTCTACATCAGGGTCTCTCAAACTTGGGCCTCCAGCTGTTGTTAGACTACAACTCCCATCACCCCTAGCTAGCAGGACCAGTGGTCAGGGGTCATCTCAGAGTGCTGCCCACTGTCCAGCTCTCCTTTATCTTATTTTATTACGAGTCTGCTCATTTCCTCCTCCTTCCCATCTTCGCTCCATTCTTGAGGATTCAGTTGAATGCAGCCTATAGAATTGAAGGAGGAGGATCCTGAAAGTTCTTTAGGCCAACTTCCTAGCTAATTTACAGCAGTTAAAAGATTGCAAGGTGCAGGTTTTCCCTTCAAATATATTTTTCAGACTCTACCAGCTGCTTGAAGTATGCACAAAGGGGAGGGGTGACATAATAGCACATCTTGGAGGCTGCATTTAATTGCATTTTAACCTGTATTTTAAATTGGTCCCCCCCCCATTATGTTTTTACTGTAATTTTACTGTAATTTTATTGTTGTTAGCTGCCCTGAGCCCTGCTCTGGCTGGGGAGGGCGGGGCATAAATTATTATTATTATTATTATTATTCTTATTATTATTAATGCCAACTTTGCGACATATGGAGAACTCATGTGACCGGCTTTCAAATGCTGCATTTGTCCTAAGATATTCTTTCTCCACTCCATGCCCTGCCCACATTATGTGATTGTAGGGAAAGAACAGAGAACAACAATCCACACTCAGAGACAGCAATCAAAATGACAACCTAAAATGGCAAAGGCGGGTAAGTTGTTTCTGCTCTTTTCCCTCTTCCTTCTCACAGGCCATTTTGTCTCTGGCTGCAGGTCCTCCCTGAGGAGGTGGTGGTGGCTCCCTTCTGCCCCATTGCCTCTCAAGGGAGGGATGTGCTAGTGGAGTGCTAAGCTGGAGCTTCTCTGCTTCCATTTGGGCCCCCAGAAAGCTGATTCTTTAAGGCAAAGGGGGCACTTCCCCACCAACACCGGGCTGCCTTCAACCAGCCCCACCTACCTACCTCCCTTCCTGTTACTCTTGCTAGAAAAATGCAACCTGTGCCATTAATAAAGATAGTGCAACTCGTACAGCACGTTGGTGACAAATATTCACACAGTTGTTCAAAAATAATTTTACACTCATTTTTTCATTTTTTTCTTGTTTTTAAAAATAAGTCCAAGGAGATTCAAGAAAAGGGTAAGTTCAACGTTGTTCCCGGTATCTGTGAGGTGCTGATGAAGCAGCATATGGAGTAATAAAGATGACAGGGTGTCAGCGTTCTATCCCCGTTTCGCCCTAGCAGTCCATGCAGTTGAGGGGCTGCTGTTTTGCCCCCAGTGAGGCCAATTTGTTGGGGTTGGCGGATAGCACACTCCCTGAGCACAGTTTTCTAGGCTTCTTCAGTTGTCTCGTGCCATTGATGTGTCTGTTGTTGTTGTTGGTTAGTCGTTTAGTCGTGTACAACTCTTCGTGACCCCATGGACCAGAGCACGCCAGGCACTCCTGTCTTCCACTGCCTCCCGCAGTCTGGTCAAACTCATGCTGGTAGCTTTGAGAACACTGTCCAACCATCTCGTCCTCTGTCGTTCCCTTCTCCTTGTGCCCTCCATCTTTCCCAACATCAGGGTCTTTTCCAGGGAGTCTTCTCTTCTCATGAGGTGGCCAAAGTATTGGAGCCTCAGCTTCATGATCTATCCTTTCAGTGAGCACTCAGGGCTGATTTCCTTCAGAATGGATAGGTTTGATCTTTTTGCAGTCCATGGGACTCTCAAGAGTCTCCTCCAGCACCATAATTCAAAAGCATCAATTCTTCAGCGATCAGCCTTCTTGATGGTCCAGCTCTCACTTCAGTACATCACTACTGGGAAAACCATAGCTTTAACTATACGGACCTTTGTCGGCAAGGTGATGTCTCTGCTTTTTAAGATGCTGTCTAGGTTTGTCATTGCTTTTCTCCCAAGAAGCAGGTGTGTGATGGCCTGGGAATCCGATTCAGAGGGTGTACTGGAGGAATCCCAGCCTACACAGGAGTCCCCGCCTCCAGGGCCGACTGAACTGGGGCAGGGCCTTGATTCTGAGGCGCCTGCACCTGTGCCGGATCCTCAGGAGCAGGCACCAGGTGAATCCATTCTGGCTCTAGAGGTGGTTGAGGACTCAGTGCCTGCAGGTGAGTCTCCCCCTGGGCCCAGTAACCCTTCAGCCTCTCCTGAACTGCAGAGGCTCAGGGCAGAGAAGCGAAGGGAACTGGTTTCTCCCAGGAGGAGTGCTCGCCTTAAGGCTAGGAGAGTCGGGTCTCCTGGGGGCCGGGACTGCCCCTGGCCTCAGAGAAGATAAAGGCCAGTCAGCCCGGTCCCAGGTTGCGGGAGCAACGTCGTTGTCAAGTACCTGCTCCTGTCCGGACCCAGACCTGACCCTCCAGTGTTCCTGTCCCCGCTCGGCTTCCTGCTTCGGACCTCGCCCCGCTCCTTGCGAACTATTTCCAGGCTAGTGACCCAGGACCGGACTTCGACTACGTTAACGGTAACCTTCCCCCCGGGATCAGCACAAGGCGTCTTTTAATTTCGTGACTGCTGTCATCATCTGCATTGATCATGCAGCCCAAGAAAGTAAAATCTCTCACTGTCTCCATTTCTTCCCCTTCTATTTGACAGGAGATGATGGGCCCAGTGGCCATGATCTTAGTTTTTTTGATGTTGAGCTTCAGGCCATATTGATGCATCTACTAGTGCTAAATAAGTTTGAAGAGACAATTTCTTGGCTTAAGCATACAAGACTGAATAGCTGAGTCAAGAATTTGTAAGAACCTAGTAAAATCTGATATTGCAAGTTCACTTTATTTTAGGTAGTTTGTAAGTTTTCGTGGCACTTTGTAAGCAATTGTCTCTTTCTCACATATTTGATAAATGGTGTAAAATTATTTTTGAACAACTGTGTGAATATTTGTTGCCAACGTGCTGTACAAGTTGCACTCCCTTCCTGTTGCAGCCAGTCCATTGGAGTCCCAGTGTCGCCCTGGTAGAACTCCCCAGGGAGGGGGATTGTCATGGATGGATGCAGAGGGGTGGCGGGAGGTACCAACTAATGAACTGCCAAGGGAACAAGACTCAGAGCCAGGGGGTTGGTGGTGGGATGACGATGAGCAGTCAGAGGGAGAAGAGGGAGCAAACGGGGAGAAGGAGGTCTTGAAAGCTGAAGAGGCAACAAGGTTAAGTGAGCAAGAAGAGGCTGTGGCAGAGAGCAGTCCAGAATCAGGGGCAGAATCAGAGGCAACTGGAGGTGGCCCGGGGAAACCCTATGGTGCTGAAGGTGGTGGGGAAGGGGAAGGGGGGCTGGAGAGGATCAGGCAGTGGTAACCCTGCTCTTCCTGGGCAGCAGTGAGCAGCATGTTCCTCAGGGGCCCAGGTCTGCCACCATTTTCAGGTGTTCATAGGCTGCCACCTGAGCCGATGTCCTCCTCAGGGCCAATGAGCAGGCTGACCCTGGTTTAAAGGGTATTTTGTTATCTATGTAACTTTCATGGTATTGCTTAGGTATTGCTGGTTGCGGCTCCATATTGATAAGCATGTATAGATTAAGCTTCCATTGCTCTTTTTCAGATAAAAAGGGGAAAGGGAAAAAGAACCTCCCACAACGTAAAAAGCCCGAAACTGCTGCCAAGAAAGCACCAGCACAACCAGCAGCCAAGGGTCTGTATGCTCCAAAGCACATAGAAGGAAATTCCAGTGGGGGCACCATAAGAAAAACAATTGTGGGGTAGGGAGGCATAGATGGGAGAAAGTCTATTTCTAAGCAGGTGTGTCCCACATGTTACAATCTCCGAAAGGGAAGCCATGGTATGTTTCCTGCTAAAACTGCCATCCTATATTACCCCCCCCCCCGAAAAAAATATATGATATATTGTTTAAGAGAGAGAGAGGGAGAAAATTAACCAAATTCATATTACAGTATGGGAATATGAGGTAGGGCATCTACACAATCATTTCTTTGACATTTAACATTTTTCATAAAATCAAAGAGTTGGAAGGAACCCCAAGGGTCATCTAGTCCAGCCCCCTGCAATGCTGGAATCTCAGCTAAAGCATCCATGAGAGATGGCCATTGAGCTTCTGCTTAAAAGCTGCCTGTGCCTTCAGCTTGTTGTAATCATTAACAGGAAGAAGAGGAATGAGGTTCACTGCCTTGAGGTCCTTGGAAAAAGGTCACACAGAATCACAGAGTCATAGAGTCGGAAGGGACCCAAAGGATCTTCTACTCCAACCCCCACCCCACCGCTGGCACTCTGCAATGCAGGAGTTTGCAGGTGGCCCGCATAGGAATCAAACCCACAATAGTGTGTGTGCGTGCATGCGCATAATGGATTTGGCGCTGTGGGTCACAGACTTCATTCCACCTCCTTTCCATCTGGTCCTTCCTCCCAGGAACTTCAAGGCAATGTGCACAACTCTTCCTTTTCCTTTCTCATGATGATAACTGTGGGAGCGTTGCAGGTATCGAGGCTCCAAGTAAGTGCATGTTGTGCAGTGCAAAGGATTTGGTGCAGGCTTCCTGGCCTGCTGTGGAGTTGCCTGCAACTGAGGACTGTGATCCGGCTTAGCTATTGGGCGCCTAGTCAGCTCTCCAAAGAGAAAGCTGTTGAGAGCCCAGGTGTCCCCCTAAACTAGTGGTGCAGAACCTCTGGCCTGCGGGCCAATCCTGGCCCACCAAGGAGTCCAGTTTTGCTGAAGATGGCTTCCCCCCCCAAAGCCACATCCACTTGTCATCACTATGATGGGCAGGGTGTGGAGTTCTGTTTTGCACTGACTGTGCCCATCGCTTCCCTGCGGGGTGGTAAAAGTGAGGTTTTCTGTCCTCTTGTCCTCTAAGGTAAGACCGACGATCTTTGGAAACGGGGAATAACGTGGGCCAACTCCCCTGTGGGTAAAGCTGCCGCCGCATGCGCTGCCACAATCCTCTTCCTCGGAACAGTTGCATTGGTCACAGTGTGTAAGTTTAACTCTTCTAGCAAAGGACCCCCCCCCCCATCGCCTTGGCTGGTTTAACTTCAGTGTAAAGAACCCTTAAAAAAAAGAGAGAGAGAAGAATGGCAACTAGAAGAAGCCCCTTTTCTTCCCTTTGATTTCAGTGAACGAGATGAGAGTCCAATTTTACACACACACAGAGAGAGAGAGAGAGAGAGAGAGAGAGAGAGAGAGATTTCAATGGCAGTGTTGCCTTTGAACAGCTCAGAGACTTTTAGTGACTAACTAGGCCAGGGGTAGGTTTACTGGGCCGGTTTACTCCAGTGGAGATCTCTCTGTGGGCCCACGATTTCAGGGCGTCTGTGCAGACATGATTTTGGGCGTCTGCGCAGATACAGTTTCTGGCATCTGCGCAGACGTGATTTCCGGCATCTGCACAGACGAGATTTGTGCCACTGCGGAAGCGAGTCCCTGCACCGCACTGCACCGGTTTAGAGTAGTGTGCAGGGACTCACCTAGCGGGCAGCTCAGTTTGGAGGTGGCTCATGGGCCGGTTAAACGACCTCCGTGGGCCTCTTGTGGCCCATGGGCTGTAGGTTGCGAACCCCAGAACTAGGCAGGTGTAGATATGCAATCAGCAGTGATACCACCTGTCCCTAGAAAAATGGCATTGCCCCTGTTTTAGACAAAAGAGTCCCCTGTCCTGTTCGGACTTCAAACGGGACATGCTTTCCCCCATATTTGAGCTCAGCCAACCCCAAATGGTGGTTGCATTGCTGTTGGTGTGACTGACAAGGAACCTGGCCCTGCGTGAACAGCAACAGGCAGAAGGGAGAAGGAGCAACCTCTCCCTTACCCCCTCCAGTGTTGTGCTGTAGTGGTTAAGAGCGGTAGAATAGTAATCTGGTGAATCGGGTTCGCGTCTCCGCTCCTCCACATGCAGCTGCTGGGTGACCTTGGGGCCAGTCACACTTCTCTGAAGTCTCTCAGCCCCACTCACCTCACAGAGTGTTTGTTGTGGGGGATGAAGGGAAAGGAGAATGTTAGCCGCTTTGAGACTCCTTCGGGTAGTGATAAAGCGGGATATCAAATCCAAACTCTTCTTCTTCTTCCTCCTTCCCTCTGGCTGGTGCACCTCCTCAGCCACTGCCCATCAGTCTAGCATGATGAAATTCCACCACAACTTGGCCCCCTTTGCTGCCCCGACCTAACCTCTCCTCCTCCTTCCACCTGCTCCACATGCAAGCCCCTTCAGGTATACTTACACAGGGTAGAATCATAGAATCATAGAATCATAGAGTTGGAATAGACCACAAGGGCCATCGAGTCCAACCCCCTGCCAAGCAGGAAACACCATCAGAACACTCCTGACATATGGTTGTCAAGCCTCTGCTTAAAGACCTCCAAAGACGGAGACTCCACCACACTCCTTGGCAGCAAATTCCACTGTCGAACAGCTCTTACTGTCAGGAAGTTCTTCCTAATGTTTAGGTGGAATCTTCTTTCTTGTAGTTTGGATCCATTGCTCTGTGTCCGCTTCTCTGGAGCAGCAGAAAACAACCTTTCTCCCTCCTCTATATGACATCCTTTTATATATTTGAACATGGCTATCATATCACCCCTTAACCTCCTCTTCTCCAGGCTAAACATGCCCAGCTCCCTTAGCCATTCCTCATAAGGCATTGTTTCCAGGCCTTTGACCATTTTGGTTGCCCTCCTCTGGACACGTTCCAGTTTGTCAGTGTCCTTCTTGAACTGTGGTGCCCAGAACTGGACACAGTACTCCAGGTGAGGTCTGACCAGAGCAGAATACAGTGGCACTATTACTTCCCTTGATCTAGATGCTATACTTTGATCTATACCTTGATCTAGATGCTATAGATGCCACACTTCCAGCTGGCATAAAACTAGTGTGTTGGTATGCCCACTCTTTCATTCCTCCTTTCTTTTTAGATGTTCTCAATTATAAAAAGCATGCGCAAGTGTTAGCAGCACAGCAGAAGGTTCGGGATTTTGCTAATACCTACTACCCAAAGTGGAACAGTCTGAATGGTAAGCAATGTGTTTTGGTCAGAGTTTTCAGAAAGCTTCTTTCTCTGCAAGTGTCTCCCCGACACTGCTTAGGGTCGTTTCCCCCAGTATTTTTCCATTTCTGAAAATGTTTATACACCACCGTGTCATAAAAATATAGCGCAGTGGTTCACAACAATAAAAGCCTATTCCAATTGCTCAGCGGGAAGAAAAGCTGCCGGGGAAAGGGGTGGGTTGCCAGTGAAATGTGCCAGTGAAATGTGACGGTGTTAAAGATAGTTTTTTTTAAAAAAAAGGTTCCTGGGCTGGATGTGTCCCTCACAGAAACCCGAAAGAAAGGGTTGGAGGCTCCAAGTGAAAAGATATGACTTTACTGAATAAAGGAGTCCATCGGGTCAGCCTCCTAAAAATTCTGAGGGAGGCTGAAATGATCTTCACAAGCATCTACTCCTACACACTTCTAACCTGGACACGTGATTACAAATAACCAACCAGTTAATTATATCAGACTTCCCATAGCAATTGCAACCCACAGTTGTCATTCTAAACCAATCAGACATCCTTAGGCTCTTCTGATCAGCAGTGGCGGCGCTTCATGCTCTGGCACCGGGGGGGGGGCGGACAGCAGGCGGGGGCACGCTTCCTGGGGGCTGGCACGCTTCCTGGGGACGTAGCGCGACCCACGGAAGCATGGCGTGCATCTTGAGCAGGGGTCAGCAAACTTTTTCAGCAGGGGGCCTGTCCAGTCCCTCAGACCTTGTGGGGGGCTGGACTATATTTTGAAGGGGGGGAAAAACGAATTCCTATGCCCCACAAACAACCCAGAGATGCATTTTAAATAAAAGCACACATTCTACTCATGTAAAAACACACTGATTCCCGGACGGTCCACGGGTCAGATTTAGAAGGCAATTGGGCCGGATTTGGCCCCCGGGCCTTAGTTTGCCTACCCATGCTCTTGAGCATTGGGGTAGCCACGCCTCGGCTTTCCCCTTTTGCTCTATAATCTTATCATGCTGCTTCTCTGCCTCAAGCTGACAAGGAGTGCAAACTGTGACCTGTTACCTAACAGTGCTGGTCTGGAAGTGAATCCCAGGCATATCTTAGGCTGGAAATGACTTTTGTCACAAAGCCTGTAATGGACTGACTCAACATTAAAAAAACAAAATCTCTCTCTCTCTCTCTATATATATATATTGTCTGCATCTATGTGCCATATTAATTCCCTACAGTTCCTGAGAGTGATGCTATATTGTGAGCATTGTGTGAAAGTAAGCAGGCATCTAGACTGGTGCTAATGATTCCCACAACCAAATAACCCTGACCGAGTAAAAGGCTCATCAGAGGCTACTTTGCTCTGGGTCCCTCTAAGCTGCACCTGGCTGTGTTCACCATACCTGTGCCTCCCCTGGGCTTTGCATGCTTCTTCTGACATGCACACATGGGCATTTGGCCCTTAAATTCTCAAAATAGGAGATGGCCGAGGCTGGGTTGAAAACTGTGCCAGGGGCCCCGTCAAAGTAGTACCCTTCACCTTACACTGGTGAGGAGCACAAGGTCATATCCACACCAAGAGTGGTTTAGTCTTGCTGGCCACATGACCTGGAAAGCTGTCTGTGGACAAATGCTGGTTCCCTTGGCCTGAAAAGCAAGATGAGCGCCGCAACCCCACAGTCACCTTTGACTGGTCTTAACTGTCCAGGGTGCTTTACCTTTACCTTTACCTTTACCTTTACCCTTACATACATTTAAAGCTCATTCAGCACACATTTAAAGTGCTTGACTTCCCTCAAAGAAACATGGGAACCATTGCAAGCACTTAAAGAAGAAGGCGCAATGCTCTGGCAGGGTGCGAGAGCTCTCCCGCCTCCTTCCCAAAACATGAGCAGCTTTTGCTCAGCTTTGGTAAGGAGGTGGGTGAGCTCTCGCACCCTGTCAGAGCATCGCATCTTCTTCCCCAGGCATGCACCTCCAGATGGTGGAGACGTCACTTGGTTGCAAATGGTGTAAAATGCGCCTGGCGCCTGGCTGATTTCTAACGCTGCTCTGCCTCCACACTTAAGATTCTGAATCTCAGTTGCTGGAAGCCACAGGAGGGGGTGTTCTCTTCTGCACGGATCCTGCTTACAAGTTTCCCACTGTTGGCCACTGTGAGAACAGGATGCTGGACTAGGTGGGCAGACGCTTCCCAGACTTTGGGAAGGAGGCACAAGGCCCGTGTCCTGATTTTTCTCAGCATATGCAAATGTGCCCATGGGCCTAATAATAATAATAATAATAATAATAATAATAATAATAATAATAATAATTTTTTTAAAAAATGATATTTATTGAGAATTTAAAATTACAGAAGAAAAAAAGGAAAAAGAGAAAAAGAGAAAAAAGTAATTAAACAGTACAAATCAATAAAAAGGAAAAAAATACAAAACACACAAAACATCAACACCAAAAACAAAAACAAGAAAAAAAATTGAAAAACAAATCCACTATTCCCACATCTTTATCTTTCATTAACTTGTTTCATCGAACTCCTCACACCTCCCTTTTTTATATTCTAATTATTAATTATCTCAGCAAATCCTTTCCATCTTTCACTATATTCTGTCATTTAATTATCTTAACTTATTTTAACCTTATCTTACCATAAAAAGCCCTAAAACTTAAAACTTATTTATACTTATCTCCTTATAGCATTTCTACTAAAGCCAAGTAGTTTCATTCCAACATTTTTCTAACACTCATTAACTTTACAATATTTCTTTAAATGAATTTTTAAACTTTCTTCCAATCTTCATCCACCGTCTCTTCTTTCTGGTCTCGGGTTCTGTCAGTCCTTTCTGTCAATTCCCTCTAGTCCATTATTAGGACTGGAATAATAAATTTTATTTATACCCCGCCCTCCCCAGCCAAGACCGGGCTCAGGGCGGCTAACACCAGGTATAAAAACAATTGATTGAAATACAACTTAAAAAACAAGATTAAAATGCAACATTAAGCCTGATGCTCCCCTGCATGGCAGAATGTAGGGAGATGATTTGAAATAGATATAGATTGCGATTTAAGATCTTGACCTGGATTCTTGTAAACCTTTTAGATTATGGGAAATTTGCCATGGTTGTGAACTTATCGGACTACTTTGTCAATCTGACTATGCTAAACGAAGAACTGCAAGTTGAAATTGGTAAGTAATGCTGAGACCATCGTGCTGAAGAACCAGAGTGGAAAAAGAGCCTCCCCTTAGGCTGCACCTTCTCCTGAAGGTCACTTTTCTACATGGCTCGCGAATGAATTGGGCTGGGCTGCTTGGGGTAGGCCAAGCACAGCTGGTAAAAGGCACTTCTAGCTATGGAGGCTGTTCCTCTAGTGACAAAGCTCAATCCAGAAGCACCTCTAGTTGCATACCTGCTCCTTTAGAAGGATTGCAACTCCACCCAGAACAGGCAGTTGTACCAAATTCGTGGCCAAGTGAACTACTCCCACACAGTGCTGTTGTATTCCCAGGATTCATGCTTGGCTTATTTCCTCTCATCCATCTCATCTCTGTGTCCAGGCACCAGTCAAAGGCCTGTGTAGCTTCTGCTGATTCACATGTTATTGAGAAATAGAGTGGAGTGTCATCAGTGTTCTGGTGGCACCTTTCCCCCAAACTCCAAATGGCCACTCCCAGCAGCTTCATATAAACATTGAATAATATTGGAGTTAAAATAGTGCCCTGTGGCACTCAGTAGTGTAACCACCTGTCTCTTGAGGTCCAAGTGGACTCGGTGGCATGGAGTGCCTTCTGTCAGCTTCGGCTGGTGGCCCAGCTGCATCCCTATCTGGACAGGGATAGCCTGACCTCTGCATTCTAAGCCCTGGTAGCCCCTAGGTTGGAATACTGCAATGTGTTATACTTGGGACTGCCTCCGAAGACTGTTTGGAAACTTCAGCTGGTGCAAAATGCAATGGCCAGATTGTTCACCAGAACAAGACAGTTTGAGCATATAACACCAATCCTGGCACAACTGCATTGGCTGCTGAGTAGTTTCCGGGCCCAATTCAAAGTGTTGGTGTTGAACTATAAAGCCTTGCATGGCTCAGGACTTCAATAGGATTGCCTCTCCCCATGCAAACTGACCCGGACCCTGAGCTTGTCTTCTGAGGCCCTTCTCTATGTCCCCCCATCCCAGAGGTGTGCAAAGGGTGACAACATGAAAACATGCCTTTTCTGTGGTGGCTCCCCAGAATGCCTCACCTGGTGCTATCATTACATGTCTTTAGGTGCCAGGCAAAAACATTCCTCTTTACCCAGGCCTATGGCTGTTAAATAATCTGTGGCTCGTGAAAGTGTGGGTTAGAGGACTGTTGTTATTATGATTGTTTTATTATTAGGCTTTATTATTATAGCCAGTGTGGTGTAGTGGTTAAGAGCGATAGACTCGTAATCTGGTGAACCAGGTTCGCGTCTCCGCTCCTCCACATGCAGCTGCTGGGTGACCTTGGGCCAGTCACACTTCTCTGAAGTCTCTCAGCCCCACTCAACTCACAGAGTGTTTGTTGTGGGGGAGGAAGGGAAAGGAGAATGTTAGCCGCTTTGAGACTCCTTCGGATTGTGATAAAGCGTGATATCAAATCCAAACTCTTCTTCTTCTTCTAGACTCAGTATGCTTTAAATTATGTTTTTATTACTGTTGTTCTGTAATGTGTTTTTAATGTTGTACACTGCCCTGGGATCTTTTGATAATGGGTGGCAAATAAATTGAATAAATAATATAAATAAATAAAAAATAAGCACCACGAGGGCAAAAAAGCACTTGATCAATGCTACTCTCTGGACCACTGCAGCACAGTGCGCCCCCCATTCCCATTCCATGGAGCTGGCCCAGAAGGATCCCATGGGTAGTAGTATCAAAAGCCACAGAAAGATCAAGAAGCGGGAACTAGGTTGTGCTCCCTTTGTCCCGTTCTCTTGCAGAGGTCATCCCTCAATGTAATCAAGGGTAACTCTGTCCCATGACCAGGCCTGAATCCAGATTCGAATGGATCTAAATCTGTGTCATCCAAGAATCCCTGTAGCTGCCTCACCACTACTTTTTCCATCACCTCCCCCATCCCCAGAAGGTATTTGTGATGGGTCAGAATAGATTTAAGTCTAAGGCAGGGTTTCCCAAACTTGGGTCTCCAGCTGTTTTGGGACTACAACTCCCACCATCCCTGACCACTGGTCCTGCTAGCTAGAGATGATGGGAGCTGTAGTCCAAAAATAGCTGGAGACCCGAGTGTGGTAAACCCTGGTCTAAGGGGTCCGTGACTAGTTTCTTTAGGAGAAGTCACACCACCACTTCTTTCAAGGCAGCAGCGACCATCCCCTCATGTAATGAAGCACTAACCACTTTCTGTTAGATATAATAAGCAAGGAGGGACAGAAGTCGAGGCAAGTGGCCAGGCTTATAGTCACTAGCACATGGGTAAGCAAACTAAGGCTCAGGGGCCGGATCCGGCCCAATCACCTTCTAAATCTGGCCCACAGATGGTCTGGGAATCAGCGTGTTTTTTCATGAGTAGAATGTGTGCTTTTATTTAAAATGCACCTCTGGGTTATTTGTGGGGCATATGAATTCTTTCTTTCTTTCCCCCTTCAAAATATAGTCCGGCCCTCCACAAGGTTTGAGGGACAGTGGACTGGCCCCCTGCTGAAAAAGTTTGCTGACCCCTGCACTAGAGAAAATGCAGTGCAAGCTGCCCAATGATCCTTCTTTGCGGCTTGCACTGCCCCATTGTTGGCATCGTTATGTCCTCCAAGCAGTGTTTGGATGACTTCAGTGCAAGTCTAAACGGCCCTAAATGGCCTCGGTCCTGTATACCTGAAGGAGTGTCTCCATCCCATTGTTCTGCCCGGACACTGAGGTCCAGCACCGAGGGCCTTCTGGCAGTTCCCTCACTGTGAGAAGTGAAGCTACAGGAAACTAGGCAGAGGACTTCCGGGGAGGTGCCTCTGGTAATGGCGGAATTCCTCTGATCAGGAGGAATTTGCCCCGTGGGAATTTGGGTCTGGCCGCCACGGCGAAGGCGGAGACCCGCAAAAAATCACAGGCGGGAGAAGCCTGTGAGCGTGGGATTCAGTGGGCACCTTTTGCGCCTCCCCTACTCGTGGGTAAACCCAGTTTCGGGGATCCGGAGTGAAGTGGGGTGAGCGGCGCGGTGCTTCGAATCGTCTGCTTCTTCCATGGAGCGAAGCCGCATAGCTGTTGCCGAAGAGCAGACTTTTTCCTGTGGACAATTTGACTTTAAAGTACTTACCCATGAGTAGAGCTGAAGTGGGATAATTGGATTCTAAATGTTTAATTTGGTATCGAAACGGGGAGGTTCAACACAGGAAGTCCGCCATCCCTATCTGTAAATACACTGAAGCAATAAGGCTGCAAGCTGAAGTCTTGGAAAGCCTTTTGTAAAAGATTAAATTTCCATCGGTAAAGCGTATAAACCCCCCTTGGTGGCAGGAGAAGAGGGGGGAAATTGTGGACTGAGTTTGCCTGCAGGAGAGAGTGAAGTTAAAATACCGCCGCTCTGACCCTGGAAACGGGCTGCTAGCAGGACTGACGTTTTGGAATGTTCATTGACAGTGCTTAGAACGTTCCTTGACAGTTAGTAAAATAAGAGAAATGCATTGTTTCTACTGTCTCCGGCTGTTTCTAAAAGGGAGTAAAGTAACTTAAAATTGAAACTAAGTTTGGATTTGTGTTTAAAAGAGGATACTAATTGACTATTATAAATAGAAACTGTTTCCCCCTAGTGGAAGTCTTTGAAATTGGTTCTTTACAAGAGCTGGGCTAGGGGAATTTCCAGTCACAAGATAAAAAACTGTGAGACACTGGGACTGACCTTGAATTTTTTAAGTGTTATGGCAAGTGAAAGGGAAAAAACAGACCAGCCAACAGCTGGGGGAACATTGAGGTCTGGTAAGACTTGGCAGCAACCCAGGAGAGCTTCAACATCAGGCCCCCCTGCTGCTTCTTCTGCGGCTGCTGCTTCTGCATCAGTACATTCAAAACCAAGAGGAATGTCGACAGAAGAGGCTTTAGCGGTTGCATTAAGAAAGATAAATGATTCACTGGAACAGCTTAATAAGAAAGTGGATGCTGCAACTAATAAAATAGATTTAAATACAGAAGGTATAAACAATCTGGGACAAAAGGTGAACACCAATACAGAAACCATCCAGAAATTGATACAGGAATCTACTTTGATACGGCAGACTGCGGAGGAAGCTAGGGAGAAAGCAGCAGCAGCTGAATGTAAAGTAACACAACTGGAGAATGAGAGAGTTCCAATCCTACAGAGGCAGCTTGACGAACATAAGTTGTCGCTTGCTATGATTGAACTTAAAGAAAAACAGACGAATTTGAGGATTAGAGCTATACCGGAATTGGAGAAGGAAAGCTTGATAGATTTTCTTACTGAGGAATTTGCTAACTTTTGGGACTTGGACTTGGGTCAAGAAGAGTTTAAAATTGTGAGGGCATTTAGACTTGGAAGAGGAGGGGAAAAAGAGAAGAATAGAATAAGAGACTGCTTGATTTCCCTTCGGACTAAAGAAGAGAGAGACAAAATCTTGGGCTGGCACTATCAGAAGAACCTAGAAGTACAACAGTCAAGAGTGGAAATTTTTAAAGACGTTCCCAAATACCTTTTGGATCTTAGGCCTAACTACGGAGATATTGTTGCTCTGCTGAGAAGGAATAAAATCATCTTTAGGTGGGAGTTTCCCCAAGGTCTATCTTTCAGTTTCAAAGGAAGGAAAATAAAAATAAGATCAGTAGAAGATAAAGTAAAGTTTTTGTTTAAATACAAAGAAGATCTGCAGAAGGGACTTGGAAAAGAGCCAAGAGCACTGGATAGAAGATCACCAGACAGAGGACTAGAGCAAAGAGCTTCGGACAGAAGATCACCAAACAGGGGAATACTGGAGATATCGGCATTATCCTTTGGATTGGACCTCCCAGTGAACGTGTTATCACCACCACCAACAGAAGAAGAGCAAGCATTGGGTGCAGTTGGGGGGATATCAGGGATACCAGTGTAATTACATGATGGGGTTGCAGGTTTTGAGTTGGAATGTGAATGGACTGAATTCCCCAGAAAAAAGGCGGAGAGTCTTTCATTTATTGAAAAAAGAACATTTGGACTTGATTTGTTTACAAGAAACACATGTGACAAGGCTACACATGGCTGAGAGAATGGCTGCTTCTTGAAAACACTGAAGTGTTGGATTTAGAAGGTTTCAATAATGTATTTGGCTGGCATGCATATTTGTGGTATGATAAGGTAAAAGTACATAAAGCGTTTAAAAATCATATTGTTAGAAAAGCATTGTTTAATGTTTGGATAAGATATAAGGATTTGTTAGAAAAGAAAACCCCAAGATGGTTGTCACCAATGGAAGTGAAGGCACAGAAAAAACTCAACATGGAGGCCAAATGGCCGAAATATTGGGAAATTCTGGAACAAGATGGAGACAGAATAAAATTGCAGAGCTTTGAAAAATTGAAAAACAAAGTGCGAGATTGGCTCCATTATTACCAAATAATGGAGGCATACAAATTGGACAAAAAAGTTGGTTTCCAGGTGGAAAAATCAAAATTGGAAACAGAATTGTTAGACCCCAAAACCAAGAATTTGTCAAGAATGTATAACTTGCTGTTGAAATGGAACACTCAGGATGAAACGGTGAAATCAGCTATGATTAAATGGGCACAAGATGTTGGACATAACATAATGATGGCTGACTGGGAACAGTTACGGACCACAGGTATGAAATTTACGGCATGTAATGCCCTAAGAGAAAATTTAATGAAAATGATTTATAGGTGGTACATGACACCAGTTAAGCTTGAAAAAATTACCATTTGCCCAATAATAAATGTTGAAAATGTAATGAGACTGAAGGTACATTCTTTCACCTTTGGTGGACATGCCCAAGGATTAAGACATTCTGGGAGATGATTTATAACGAAATGAAAAAGGTATTTAAATATACCTTCCTGAAGAAACCAGAGGCCTTTCTCCTGGGCATGGTCAGCCAATTGGTGCTAAAGAAGGATAGAACTTTTTTTATGTATGCAACAGCAGCAAGAATACTCATCGTGAAGTATTGGAAGACACAAGATTTACCCACCAGGGAAGAATGGCAGATGAAGGACTATATGGAACTGGCAGAAATGACCGGCAGAATCCGAGAACAGGGAGAAGAGTCGGTGGAAGAAGACTGGAAAAAGTTTAATGACTATTTACAGAAATATTGTAAAAATTATGAATGTTAGAAGAATGTTGGAATGAAACTTGAAACTTTATTATGAAGCTGCCAGTCTTTGTTGGATCAGGGACTGGATTACCTTAGAAAACACCGATTTGCTGGACCTGGAAGGGTCCGGCAATAGGTTCGGCTGGCACTCTTATTTATGGCAAAATAAAGAAAAGATACATAAAGGATTCTCAAATCATATTATCAGGGGGCCTCTTTTAGAAGTGTGGGAGAGAAATAAAAAACTGTTAGAATGGAAAACACCTTGGTGGTTATCCCCAATGGATATCCTAATAATAAAAAAGGTTAATATGGAGGGAGAAAGATTAACATACGAAGATCTACTGATAAGATCGGATAGTGGATGGAAGATGAAAACGTTTGAAGAACTGAAAGACAAGTTATCGGGCTGGTTACAATTCCACCAAATAAATGCGATTTGGACAGCGGATAAAAAAATAGGTATGAACGGAAAAAAATCGAAGTTTCAGATAGAGATAATTGAAGGCAAATATAAATTACTATCTAAAATGTATAACATATTATTAGAATGGGACACGAAAGATGAAGAAATAAAAGGGGTAATGACAAGATGGGCAATGGATCTGGGTTATAATATAGAGTACGATAAATGGTTGAAATTATGGACTAGTGGAATGAAATTCACGGCATGTGTAACGCTTAGAGAGAACTTAGAAAAGATGATGTATAGGTGGTACATCACCCCAGCAAAGCTAGGGAAAATGTACAAAACAGGAAACAGGAACTGTTGGAAGTGTAAGACCAAGGAGGGCGATTTCTTTCACATGTGGTGGATATGTGACGAAATGAAGAAATACTGGGAACTTATTTATAATGAGTTAAAGAAAATATTTAAATACACATTTCCTAAACGACCGGAAGCATTCCTACTAGGAATCGTAGGGGACGAGATTAAAAAAGAGGATAAAGTACTATTTCAATATGCTACAACTGCAGCCAGATTGTTAATTGCCCAAAATTGGAAGAATCAAAGCACCCCATCAATTGGAGAATGGCAAACAAAACTATTTGAATTCGTTAGTCTAGCAAAAATGACACAAAGAATTAGGAACCAAAAAAATACAAAGTTTATGAGCGATTGGAATAAATTTATGACCTACATTGAAGGGAACTATAGAAATCTAAAGACTACAGCTGGTTTGATATAAATCTCATGATGTGTAATTCATTTACAAACACAAGCTGCGGGAGAGACAAACTATAGATATTAAGAAGCCTGAAAGCAGGAGGGAAGGAGGTCAGTAGGGGGATGAAGAGAGATGTGGACTATTAAGGATATAAAGAAACAAAGGTGAAGACTAATAACTGGAATGGAAAATGTTTATTATATTTTTATTTTCTTATTTCTTAACCTCTTTTTTTGTAATGGATGATTTGATGTTTGTCTTTCTCTTTTGTTCTTTTCTTTTTGGTTTTGTATGTGAAACTTAATAAAAAGATTTTTTTTTAAAAAAAGAAGAAGAATGTTGGAATGAAGTGATATGGCTTTAGTAGAAATGTTATAAGGAATTAAGTATAAATAGATTAATAGAGTATTAAAGGAAAAATAAGGTTAAAATGTGTTAAGATAATTATAGGATAGAAAACAGGGGACGATGGAAAGGAATTGCTGAAATAATTAATTGAAGTAAAATACAAAAAGGGAGGTGAGAGGAGGTCGTGGAAATATGTGAAAGAAAGATAAGATATTGGACTTTTTTCCTCTTTTTTCCGATGTGTTTTTAAATTGTTTTTGTTTTGTCTTGTTAGTTTGATGTTTTGGTGTTGTGTGATGTTTTTGTATTGTAATGTACTGTTTTTTCTTTGGTTTTTTTGTAGTGTTTAAATTGTTGTAAAAGTAATAAATATTATTAAAAAACAAACAAACAGGAAACTAGGCAGAGAGCCTTCTCAGCAGTGGCGCCCACACTGTGGAACGCCCTCCCATCAGTTGTTAAGGAGATGAGTAATTACAGTGGTACCTCGGGTTACAGATGCTTCAGGTCACAGACGCTTCAGGTTACAGACTCCACTAACCCAGAAATAGTACTTCGGGTTAAGAACTTTGCTTCAGGATGAGAACAGAAATTGCGTGGTGGTGACACGGCGGCAGCGGGAGGCCCCATTAGCTAAAGTGGTGCTTCAGGTTAAGAACAGTTTCAGGTTAAGAACGGACCTCCAGAACGAATTAAGTTCTTAACCCAAGGTACTACTGTATATAACATTTAGGAAACATCTGAAGGCACCCCGGTATAGGGAAGCTTTTAAGGTTTAATGTTTTACTGTTTTTATATATGCTGGAAGCCGCCCAGAGTGGCTGGGGCAATCCAGCCAAATGAGTGGGGTACAAATGAAGAAGAAGAAGAAGAAGAAGAAGAAGAAGAAGAAGAAGAAGAAGAAGAAGAAGAAAAAGAAGAAGTAGTCTTGAGCCACCTGTGCTCTAGTCTTCATCTGGCTCACTTCATAGCACAAAGCTCACCAGAATACCAAGGAACCACCAAGGAACCAGTCAGCTCCACAACACTGGAGAGGCGGCTTGGGTGTCATAATGGCAGCTGCCCAGTTCACCATGCCATTCCATAGTGAAACCAGGGCCACATTCTCGAGGTAGGGATGCCTCTGAGGCCTCTGTTGCTAAGAATCACAACTGAGGAGAGTCCTGTTGTGATTAGATCCTGCACGTGGGCTTCGCATGGAGGTATCTGGTTGGCTGCTGTGAAAGCAGGTTGCTGGACTTAAAAAGGTAAAGGACCCCCTGACAGTTAAGTCCAGTCATGAACGACTCTGGGGTTGCAGTGCTCATTTCGCTTTACAGGCCGAGGGAGCTGGTGTTTGACAATTTTTCTGGGTCATGTGGCCAGCATGACTAAGCCGCTTCTGGTGAAACAAGAGCAGAGCACGGAAACGCTGTTTACCTTCCCGCCGGAGTGGTACCTATTTATCTACTTGCACTTTTTGGCATGCTTTCGAACTGCTAGGTTTGGCAGGAGCTGGGACCGAGTAATGAGAGCTCACCCTGTTGTGGGGATTCGAACCGCCGACCTTCTAATTGGCAAGCCCAAGAGGCTCAGTGGTTTAGACCACAGTGCCTACATGGGCCCATTTTGACCTGATCCCGCAGAGCTCTTCTCATGTACTTATAAGCTGCTACTTTAAATACATTATGAGAGATTGTAATGAAATAGATGCATGCAATTCATTTTGAGTTTGTAATTTATTAATTTTTAGAAGAAAAGCACAAGAAAAATCTGCACAGACCTACTACACACTAAATCTCCTTCTGTTTTGCTGTTTTTCTGGCTTGGATCAAAGATGATATTCGGCAGAAACTTAATTCAGGATGGAGGGTCTTTAGATGGAACATCTACTTGTTTTCCAATGACAAAGCATCATGGGCAGCTGCTGTGAATAGATGTCAGGAGGTTAATACCCATCTGGTTTCCATTACAACCCAGGAAGAACAGGTGAGGTGGACACATACAAATTAGGAATAATCTTGCACAGGCTAATGGTTTCATTTTTTATTTTACCTTTAAACCATTTCTATACTGCTTAATATATAGAAATATCTCTAAACAGGGCAGAGCAGATTAAAAACACAAATATTACAAAAGTATAAAATCAAACCATTGATCATACAACACTAATAAAAATATACTGATATCAGAACTGGAATTTTGCTAACCCTTTATCTACAGTGAACACCTCTTAGTCATTAGACTAATGACTAATGACTCTCTCGGGAGTAAACCCACCATCCCTGGCTCTCACCCAGGACTCAAGCAAACTCACAGGTGACCCCAACATCTCTCCCAACAAGGAAGGTCCCCTGAGCCTGCTGGCCTCACCCTGGCCTCTCACTCTAGGGTTTATGGGCAGGAATCAAGGTCTGATGGAGCTTCCTCAGGCTGCCCACTACTGTACTGTGTCCCTTTGATCAGCTGCACCATACATATGAGCTTTATTCCTTTTCGGTGCCTACAAAGGTCACCTGCAGCCAGGGATGCAAGACAATTTCAGTTCTCTCCACTTTTGGTGGTGCCTGTTTCACGCTCTAGGACTCACAAATGGAACATAGATATGCAGAATGGCATATCTACAACCCATAAGAACATAAGAGGAGCCTGCTGGATCAGGCCAATGGCCCATCTAGTCCAGGATCCTGCTGTCATAGTGGCCATAGTGCCTGTGGGAAACCCACAAGTGGGATCCAAGCACTAAAGCACTCTTCCCCTCCCACATTCTCCAGCAGCTGGCATTCAGAAGCATTGCTACCAATCCACGCAAAGTCTGACAACAAAACATTGCACCACTTATTGATGGGCTTGAGTAATTTAAACTATTATATAATTACGCAAATTATGCCCTCATTACATTATTCCACTCCATTTATTTCAGTCCAGATGAAATGTAATTCAATTGGGGGAAATGTAATCAAATATATTTTGTTTCCAGATTGAAATCATCATCATCAGCAGCAATTACCTATCATATTTGGATTGAATCACAGATATTTTTCAGATCTTTTACAGTCATACCTCGGGTTGAATGTGCTTCAGGTTGAGCACTTTCAGGTTGCGCTCCGCGGCAACCCGGAAGTAACGGAGCGTGTTACATCCGGGTTTCGCTGCTCGCGCATGCGCAGATGCTCAAAATGATGTCACACACATGCGCGGAAGCGGCAAAACGCGACCCGTGCAGTCGCGGCTTACATTCTATTCAGGATGTGAATGGGGCTCCGGAACGGATCCCGTTCGCATCCTGAGGTACCACTGTATAAGGTTTTTTGGTTACATTTTTGAGATTTTACATTCCTGAGAGTTATGCTTAATTTTTTTATTTTGTATGTTTTTATTGTTGTAAACAATGGATTTTTTTAATTTTAGAAAATAACTACCTAATAAATTTCCAAGCTATACACGGGACAAATAAGTAAACAGTAGCAATTTCTGCCTCTGTTTCCAGTAGAATTCTCTAACATTCCTAAACATGACAATTTTGTTTATAGCCCTACATGCCCAGAAAAGACTTTGAGTCTGATTTGTTCTGTTCTGTTGAAGATGTATATAGATACAGAAGCTAGGAATAAGAAACAAAATTTATGGATTGGCGTCAAGAAGAACCCAAAGAAACCTCACGGTGTTGAATGGGTTAGTGGTGTGGATGCTAAAGTAACGTGAGTTTGTGAACAAAATTTCCTTATCTCCTGCACTGCACTGCATTCCTTTTCCTTTTTTTTTTTTTAAACAAGAGCTCCTGGTATTCTTTGAATCTAGAATCCAGCACTGGTTCACTGGTTTTGTTTTTCACAAGATACAGGCTTCCATTGAGAGCCAGTGTGGTGTAGTGGTTAAGAGTGGTAGTCTCGTAATCTGGTGAACCTGGTTCGCTTCCCCGCTCTTCCACATGCAGCTGCTGGGTGACCTTGGGCTAGTCACATTTCTCTGAAGTCTCTCAGCCCTGATCACTCACCTCACAGAGTGTTTGTTGTGGGGGTGGAAGGGAAAGGAGAATGTTAGCCGCTTTGAGACTCCTTAGGGTAGTGATAAAGCGGGATATCAAATCCAACCTCTTCTTCCATTGCAAACATTTTTAACTGTTCTGTCAATGAGGAGTGGGCTGGTAGTGTTCTTACTGCCCAGTCACATCAGAAACACTCCAAAAGGACACACACTAATACTTGGTATTTGGCAATGTTTGATCGGGGGGCACAGACATTGTTAGACCTGGATACCTGGGACCCAGAAGCTGAATTCTCGAGTCTCAGTGTCTCAAGTATCAATGAATCCCTGCAGGTCACTTTAAGAACACCATATGATCATAGAATCTTAGACTTGGAAGGGTCCCTGAGGGTCTTCTGGTCCAACCCCCTGCAGTGCAGGAATCTCAGCTAAAGCATCCCTGACAGATGGCCACCCAACCTCTGCTTAAAAACCTCCAAGGAAGGAGTGTCCACCACCTCTTGAGTGAGGCCTTTCCACTGTCCAACAGCTCTTACTGTAAGAAAGTTCTTCTTGATGTTTAGTTGGAATCTCCTTTTTCTGTGACTGCTCTTAAGCAGATGATAAGCAGAGTAAACAAAGTCTCTCAATAGAAAAATAGAAACTTTGAAGGGGGAAAAATAGATTAAAAATGGAAAAGATTAAAAGGAACAGTCAATGAAATGAGGAATGAAAGTAAACCAGAGATTATTGAAATGGAAAAGTGGAATAAGAAATGACATAGAGGATCTAGATGAAACTATGTCAAGACTAGAAGGAACATCTGATGAAATAGAACCCACTACAGTGGTACCTCGCAAGACGAATGCCTCGCTAGACGGAAAACTCGCAAGAAGAAAGAGTTTTCTGTTTTTCGAGGTGCTTCGCCAGACGAATTTCCCTATGGGGACCTCTTTTTAAATGCTGGCGGTCGGGAGCAAACTTTCGCCCACCGCCGGCTTCAGAAGAGGTCGGGGGACAGACTGTCCCCGGACCTGGTCTGAAGGCAGTTTCCATAGGAACGCATTGATTGATTTTCAATGCATTCCTATGGGAAACTGTGCTTCGCAAGACAAAAAACTCGCAAGAAGAAAAAACTCGCGGAACGAATTAATTTCGTCTTGCGAGGTACCACTGTATACAAATGTACGGAGAAATGAAGCAACTAAATGATAACGCTGAGATTCTGAGAAACAAAAATGAAGTTATAAATGGAAAGTGACAATTAAATGCAGACCTTTCTATCTTCCCCGGGAATTTACAACAGTGGTGTTAACAGCGGTGTACATAGCACCAACTGCAAATGCATGCAGGGCCATGAGCAGTATGCATGAAAACATCAATGCTAAATTGAGCAGATACCCAGAGGCTGTGCACATTATTGCGGGGGACTTCAATCACACAGATGTGAGGGCAGTACTCCCAAAATTCCATCAGCATTTTGAGTGTGCAACAAAAGGAGAAAATACTCTTGACAAGGTGTATACGAACATTAGACGGGCATATGAGGTCAAGACCTTGGCATACCTCGGTGCTTCAGATCATGTGTCCCTGCTTCTGACACCAGTATAAACACCCCTCAGAGAAAAAGGCCAGATACAAACACGGATGTTTACGGTGTGGCCTGAGGGAGCCTCTCAGCAACTGCAGAACTGTTTCCAAATAGCATGTTTGGCTTCATTTCCTACATGAGGGCAGACTGGCAGCCTCTTTTTGTGTTTGTCTATTTAACTCACCAGGGCACTTTTCAGGGGGAACTTACAGGAAATCATTTCTGGCACCTCTCAGGTGGTCGCCATTGCCATTCTAAAAGAACATGGTAAGAGCCAGCAAACTCTTTTTCTAGAAGAATAGCTCTAGTTAGGGTTTATATCACATATTTTCACAGAACCTTTAAATCAAATACATCGTTTCCTAAGCTGACTTCCCACCCTCACCACAACAGCATTTTTGTTCAGACCTTTTCTACTGCATTATATTTTCATCTATTGTGAAAAATTCTCTTTTACAACTTGTTGGTCATTTTTCTTCCGCTGCTTTTATCTTGAAACCTATCTGCAATTTGATTTGATTATAATATATATATTATAAGCTTCTGGTCTTTGGGGAATAGCCCATTTAAACATTTTCTTCATTTCATTAATATCATTTCCCAAAAATCTTTAGATTTTTTTACATGTCCACCGCAAATGAAAGAAAGACTCATCTACCTGCTTAAATCTCCAGCATTTACTTGACACATTTTTATACATCTTGGCAAGTTTATTTAGCATTAAATGCCACCTGTACATGATTTTAAGATAGTTTTTTCTTAATGTATAACAAGCCGTAAATTCCATAACTTATCCCAAGTAGCCATATCAATATTATGACCTAGGTCTTTGGCCCACTGTGTCATTGTTGCCTTAACCAATTCATCTTTAGTGTCCCATTCTAATAATATTTTAGAAATCAGTTTTTCATTACTGTCAAGCAACCCCATTCAGTACCAGATCCTTGTTCCATAAAACACATCCTTCTTCAATAGTTCATTTACTTGATGATACTGAAACCAACCCACTACCAGGTCTTTCTTTTCTTTTCTTTTTTTAAGCTTATAACTGCTTTCAGCATAACAATATATCTTTGTAAGCCCCCCAATTCTCCTTCATATTTCTTTCTGAGCACAACCCTCTATGGGGGATAACCACAGTGGTGTTTTCCTTTCAAGCAGATAATTATACCTGGTCCATAATCCAAATAAATTCATCACAGAGTGATTTAAGAAGTCTTTATGCATAGTGGTATTTTTCTAGAAAAAGAGGTGCTGGAACACACCCTGATCACCTCCCTTGTTCTCTTAGAATGGAAATGGCACTGTTAGAGAAGTGCTGTGAATGCTAGCTGAGATAAGCAATCCGGGAATCCAGCCATTTTTACAGTGATTTATTGGTAGCTTCAAAGTATTTACAAGAGTTCAAAGAACGACACCATCATGATCAGTCAGTCGCCTCGAATGGCAACTTCCGCTTCTTCCCCCAGCAAATCTATTCCCTAACCCCAGCCCCCCTTCTACCTCTGCTCCGAGAGTGGCTGGGCCCCAGAAATGGCCCTCCCCTCTCAGATTAATTCTCTCCCGACAGCCCTTTGTTTTCTTCCTCCTCCGAAGAAGAGCAACTGCTAATTAAAGGCACAGGATCTCTGTAAATGCCCATTCTCTCCCCCCTCTCCTCCTTCTCTGCCTCCAATTCCTGACAGGCACCCACCTGAGAGGTGCCAAAACTAAGTTTGCTTAAGTTCTGGCTGGGGAAAAAGCCATTTACGGACCTTCACTTTTTCATATCACAGATATGCATGGCAACCATATCCTTCCAGATCCAACTATCTAGTGTGGGGTTTTTTTTAATACTATCCATTCCTTAATCCATGTCAAACATGCTGAGTTAGGGCTCTTCTAAGCAGTTGCTATTGTGGGGTGGGATTCCGTCACATATTGGCAAATTCAGGTTGTGTAATTAAAGACAGAAAGAACTATTGACTGGTCACAAATACCCCCTTTGAGGGAAGGGACTGGAGAGGGTTGTGGTGGGACAGCTGCACACATTCTTGGGAGAACACAAATCATCTAGATTATTATGTTTTCATGTAGGTTGGAAGCTGCTCAGAGTAGCTGGGGCAACCCGGTCAGATGGGTGGGGTACAAATATAAAAACAAGAACAATAGCAATAGTAATTGTTGTTCCAATCTGGGTTCAGGCCTGGCAACAGGACTGAGTCAGCTGAGCAAGACAGGAGTGTGACCTTGTGGACAATGTATTACAGTGGTTCTGATCCT